AACTTGGTAGAACTACAACTGATCTGAACAGATAACTACCTGCTGCACAGGAAAGTCAAGAATAGGGTACCCTCAGTTAATGTCACACCTAACTAGAAATATAGCACCAAAAGCTATCCTAATAGTAGCTGTTCAATAAGATTCACTAAAATGCCAAATGAAAAAAATTAAAATTTTATAACACAAAATCTCACTCCTGGGGGTCAAATGTCAGATACCTAGAGAGAGGCACCTAACCCAACCAGCGAACCATCTGTCTGGCGATTGAGCGAAGGAAACCAGCATGCACCCCGACATATTTTGTCGCAGTATTTTTAAAAGTTCACCCAAAATTCCAACTTAAAAGTTTTTCTTCTAAAGATGGCACAATTCTAGTTCAATCATGAAGAACCAGTAAATCACCCTTTGAGATTTGCTCAAGTTTTCTGTAGCATAAACAAAAATTAAAAATAGAAACGTTATTTTCTCTCTTGAAAGTGGAGAGAGCTGGGGAGGGTAGATGCATTTATAATTTAAGAGGGGGGATAGCCTTATTTACTTAAAACAAGGGAATTAAAAATTCAGGGGAAACCTAATTGTGTCTATACACAGTCTTACCAACTTTCAGTACTCCAAGAACCGAAAAAAAAAAAAAAAAAATTCAGTCAACCTTGTGTTTTTCCTTTTACCACGTTACTTCCATGATTTACCCAACTGCATTTTGCATTTTTTCAAGCCAATCATTTTGGTACTGTGGAGGCACAGTCTTCAAACTAAAACATGACTACATTTTTAAAATCCCATCACGAGAAATAACCGTGACCCTACTTGCTGACACCAAAGATGATTTCATACCAGCATTAAATTTGCACCAATTACACAATTTCAGGGCCTAGAGATGTATTTTCTCGTAAACAGAGGCACAAGTCAGAGCCTGAAAAGCAATTTTCTTACTTGACTGAGCATACTCCAAACTTTTGCTTCTTAGAAACCGTAGCAGACACACTCGGCTTTCATAAGCAATACCTTGTCACACCCTGTAGAAACAACTCTTTCTTTGCTTTGGAACCAGCACTCAGAGATCATGTTTCCATTCCTGTTTTATGTAGCACTAATTGATGGCTCCCCTCATGCTCTACAGAGCAGATCATGTCCTTTCACACCATTCACTCCTAGACCTTATCTCTCATCGCTATGCACATTACAAACAAAACCAGACTTCAAAGATTTCCTTACTTTCTTTTCCTTTCTCTTTCTGTCTTCCCTCCTTCCTTCTTTCTTTGTTCCTTTTCTTTTCTTTTCTTTTTTGTATAAGTTTTTGGCCATAAGTCATTCAGGTCCTCAAATAACAGGAAGCTTTCGCTGAAAGCCAACAGGGATGTTTGGAGTCTGGAGACTGTAAAACTCAGATCTCAGTAACTGTCCAGATGGAGGAATTCTGGATGCTGGGGACTGAGTACTCCTGTCCTTGAGCGCCTTGGGAATCGATTCCAAAGACCAAAGAAAGTGTATAGGGATATCTATAAGTTCTGACAGAACTTGACACCCATCATGCCCCTCAGCCCCTTGAAAAACATACTGATTTTCCCAGAACAACATAAAAGCGCTTGCTACATTTAGACCCCTCCCACTCCCATTGCTACCCCAGGTGCAGAACCCGGCTTTGCAGGTTAAATGCAACTTTGCTATACCAAAGAGTCTAAGGGCCTTTTCCTTACGGTCCGCCCCTCCCTGCTTTGTACATACAGGATGAAACTATGCATTTAGCAAACAAAGAGAAAGCACTTCTCCCTTTTCTATCTCGTTGTTTAGGGTGCATTCAAATACCAGAGGCTGTATGGGGGATGCACTTGGCCTTCTGGATTATAACTGTGGTGTGGGTTTGCTCTACAGTGCATTTGGTAACTACTTCCCAAATAGTGTGGACAAAGAAGCAGAAGGTAAGAAATAGCTACTTCCATGTGTTAAAAAAAAAAAAAAAAAGAAAAAGAAAAAAAGGGAAAAAAGAGAAAAAAAAAGAAAAAAAAGTGTAAAGATCTACTATTTATAGTGTGAACCAAAGACGCTACCTCACTCAATTTCCATTGGTGATTTTAATCACATTGATATACCAAAGAATACCAAAGATATTTTCATGCACGGCCATGGTCTGCAGAGGGAACTCCGCCCCTTCCCTTCCCCGCCTCCTCCCTCTTCTCTCAGTGTGTGACGTTGTCTTCATTCTTAATAACAATACAACACCGACGACAACAACATTAGGAACGCCTACTCTTACGACTGCTACTTCTTGTAAATCTCTAGGCAAACACGTTGCAAAGTTTGTAAACTCCTAGGACGAGTGCCTTGCTTGAACCAAAGTGTTTAAACCGCTGTTAACCTCTCTCACCTTATACTCTTTGAATACCTCAGCCTCTTAGAAAGGCCACTAATGAAGAAAAAAAAAAAAGGAATAATTATTCACCGTGGTGCTTTTTCTGCGCAACCATGCAATGAAACTTTCTTTGATACCAAAGGATGACTTCCCCCACCCCCAATTCTTGCTGATAAACCAAAGCTCCTCCTCTTGCTCCTCCCTGAGGCCCTCCCCCACTCCTTGACGGAGTCCCATCCCCAGGCAGGCCGTGTGTCACCTTTACCAATTCCTCCAAATACCTCATAGTAATAAAGCTTTAGGGTTATGTTGTATAGAGACTCTATGTGATAAGGCAGAACTTACTAGTTTGTTAATTGTTAAGGTTACTTTAAAGAAGAAAAAAAAAAAACCCTTTATAATTCTTATTTATTTTGTAGCTGTGTGTTTGGGTGTTCCCTCCCTCCCCCCATTTTGGTTTGGGGTTTATTTTCTTGGCTGAACTGCTCAGTTGCTCAAGGAAGAGTTAATTTTTGGGAATGTTCCCCCAGTGGGTTAAAAGTTAAGGGTTGTGTAAAAAATGCAAGAATGGAAAAAGAAATGATTTTCGTTTTGATCATGACTTATGAAAGTTTGTGTTTTGTAGAAAATTTGTTTCCACAGGGTAAAAAAAAAAATTATATATATATATATAATCTTTTTTGTGAAACTGGTTCCTATTTTTCTCTATAATGTGCTGTGATTTGTTTTAATTTAATTACATTTTATATGAACTTATTTAATCACGTTGTTAATTTATGACTGTGTACTTTTTACAGTGTATATAGTACAATGAAATGGCCAAAACCTATGTTACAATCTCTTTTGTCCTTGACGCTAAGCTGAAGAGAGAGCCTCTCTTGCCTTCAGAGTGTTATCTTGAGTTTATCCTTGGTGAGCACAGCCGTGTGTGCTCTCAACACTGCCAGCTCCCTCTCAAAACGTTGTCCATGCCAAATGAGTGTACCAAGGTAGAAAGATGGAAGGCATTACCTGTGGTTTTCCTTTAATTTATTATTATTATTATTATTTTAGAAAAAAATGACTTTGCAGGTAAGACCTGAAATTTCCAAGAGCTTAAGACCTTTCCCAGTGTCTCCAGCACCTGTGTCTGTGGGATACTTTGTTTGACCACTGCTTTGGTTTGTCTGTTTTTAACTATCCAAGCATGGGTATAAGAAGTCACAGTATAAAAACCTAAAGAGACAAGCTAACTTGAATCTGGAAACCCACTCAAGGCCCTTGTTTCTACACTTCTGGGTGGAAGGCAACCTTTCCGCCAAGCTGTCTTATAGAGAAAGACAGGCCTGGGGCCGCCAACCCCCAGCAGCTCATGCAAGAAGCAAAACAAATTCACTTGGCTTAATGCTCACCCTAATTTAGGAAATACAGTTAAGAGTACCACACCCCTGATCCCCACAGCTGCCCCACCCTCGCCTTCTCAAGCGTACCCTACCCAAATGGGAAGGACTCTAAGGGTCCTTGGGGGAGAGTATACCCCGCAGAGCAATTTGAATTTGTGTTTTCTCACTCTCCATCTCACAGACATGAGCCTTGGCCAGGCCCCTCAGCCAAGGCAGGTCTGGTCTTTGATCAGCACACACAGAACCCTCAAGGACCAGGGCCAACCTCACAGGAGCCACCACTCTGTCAGTCAGCTTTACTGGTGTTGGTTGCATAGACTCATTGGTGTACCCAGCATCCCCCTCAACACAGGCATTTAGCCTTCTTTTCTTTTGTAGGTGTGTTTGGGGTGGGGAAGGAGAGGGGAGGGTGCAGGTTTCCAGTCAAGAGAAACATTTTTATACTGATTATGGATGTGAATAGGGTAACCAGTCTGCTCTGAGCCCCAGGTTGGCAGTGCGGAGTCAGGATGCTGAGGGAAGGCTTTGAGAGAGGTCAGCAGTGAAGCTCAAAGCAGAATTATCTTTACCAGGTCACACTTCTATTTCTATGTTAGTGTTGATTTTTTTTTATAGTATGTTCTGCATTTATTACATAATCATTGTGGGCTCATTTTAGAATTGCCGTCTGAACCAACTGACAATTAAAAATGAACACTAATAAACTTTAAAACACTGCCTTCCACTTGTTCTGCTAACAGTTGTCATATCTCGCCCCACCCCCACCATTTGCTGTCCATCTGTCTGTCACTCACTGAGACCTGTCCCTCCCCCCCTTTTCTATTTTCAGCACACTTTTGACCTCAGCTATTGTAAGAGTGTGACTCAGTTTCCCTGTTCAAGTTAGCTTGATGGTTTATTATATAAGGAGGGTGCCTAAGACAATCATCAGGTAAAAGTTAAATAAAAGATCAGTAGAGTAGAAAAATCTTCCAAGGGCAGGGGGAGTTCTTCCTTAGCAATGAATTAAAAAAAAAAAAATCAACAGAAAAAGTAAATACATGATTAATTAACTACACATCTAACCATGAGGGGCTTAGGAGATTTTTGATAAGCGACAAATAAACGTTACTGTCCTTCTCTTTGTCAGTTAGAAAATGGTGGTAGTATCTACGCTGCATCAACACGTCAGATGAAATGATTATTGTACCCAGTTACAGTCATTTGCTGATACCTCGTCTGTCTTCCTCTCTGTTGACGCCTCTGTATTTTCCCGTGCGTAGCGACAAAAACGTGTCATGTGTTAGGCATTCTTCTGGTTTGTACTGCATTAAGGTTTCTTCCCTTTTCTTTCTCTTCTAATTTTTTTTGAGCTTCAATACTGTTTTCTTTTTATGCTGTGCAATATCATCTGCTGTGTTTGCTAAAGAAAAAGAAAAAAGAAAAAAAAAAAAAGCAAGTGGTGATGTCATCATGCTCCCAGTGTTACAATGTTCCCGAATTTGTGTAGTCACCGAAATGTAGTGAATAAAATGTTGGATTTTCCAGCACTTTACATTTAGACCCTCCTTGCCTGCTTTCGTTTTATTCCACCTGAGGTGCTGAGGAAGCCGTCCGTGGATTTTCCTCTGGAGGAAGGGTGGAGGTGAGAGGGTAGCCTGCTTAAAGAACAATTAAGGAAACAAAACTTGAAATGTATTTTTCTGAATATTCTTGAGAAGGCCTTACAACGTATTTCAATCATATTCACACCCTACTCCCCTCTTAACTCCTCCCACCGCCATCCCCGCCCACCGCCATCCCCGCCC